TCATAAATCCAGAAGAAAGATTTAATGGAAATGAAAAAGGATTAACTACTATACAAGAGTCTGAAACTTCAGAGATGTATTATCCAACGGAGAAATTTTCACCTCGAATGAATAACGATGGTGTTTCATCGTTTTCAGAGCAGGTACCAGAAAACCTTCAAACCATTTCGTCAAATGCTGAAAAGGCTGACGGATCGATTAATTCCCAAACAATTCAACCAACGGAAGAGATAAATGGAACACTTTCTGTGGAACAAACACAATCCCCAACTTCTTCAGTAAAAATGGCATTACCAGGTGCTCGTGATAGAGCTTTAAAACGTAGTGAATGTACGCATCAATTTTTAAAACACTAATTTAAAAATGATTGAACATGCAATTAACATAATTCATTGCCTTTAGTCATGCAGGCAGGGCCACCACTTCCAGCTTCTGTTCAAGAGAGGCGATTATTGCTCGCTACTCACTTAGCACGTCTTAATAATCATGATGTAGATATAAGTCTTTTCCGTAAGCTGGCTAGATTATCTAAGGAAACACCATTATCTAAGAGGGAAACCGCTTCAGATATCTGGGAAAATGGAGATAGATTTTCTGAATTAATAACAGCATTAATAGGATTCCTGAGCGATTTTGATGAGGTTTATTTTAATTCAACGATTTAAGCCGGTTTTCAAAGCATCCAAATACTCATTTCCTTATTTCTTTTAATAGACCACTGAATTAAGGGAGAATGCAGTTATGTTACTTGGTCAATTGCTTATTAATCAGCCAGATTACGTTAATGGTTCTGAAAGAATAGTTTTACGAAGTTTATTAGAATGTAGCTCTGATTCATCAGCCAACGTAAATTGTTTTTTGATCATATTTCTCATTGCAAAACCGATTTTTCTTAAATAATAATTGTAATTTTGTAGGTTTGTGGTCAAGCAGAAGAGATTTTGGAGGCTTTTATACAAGGAGTTGATTGCAAAGTTGGCTTATATGCACTGATCGATATAATGGAGTCAACCTTATTTGGTAGTTCTCTGGGCGTAAGTTCTCCTAGTGGTGATAATGTGTCTTCCAGTTCGCGGGTGTCTATGAAAAAGTACGCCTTTGCGGCATTATCTTTACTAGTTAAAAGGTTTGATAAAAAGTCTCTAGAAAGACAAACTGGCAGAATTATCCCATTAGCAATCAAGGTTGGTCTTTTAAAATTATATATCGACTTATTAAATAAGTTTCCTGAATTATTTGTAATTCATCAATTAATATGTTATCAATTAATGCTATTTGTCTTAGGGATTTAATGATCAGAAATCAGAGGTCCGTAAGGCTGTTGTTGATACACTTGTTGCAGTATATTCGGTTGTCGGAGATGACAATACTTTATTCCAATACCTCGGGAGCCTAAATCCTTCACAAAAAAGCCTTCTTGGTTATTATTTTGATAAAAGTAAGAAGCAGCGGGTGTGGTGATTGCAGTCGATTAAAAAATTTGTAAGCTTAACCGAGTCAATAATTTTGATATGGCTAAGCTGGCTTAGTCAATTAAAAACTTATAAGCTTAACCGAGTTGGTAATTTTGATATGGCTAAGTCGTTTTAGTCAGTTATTTATCTGTCATTTTTAATAGTTTTAAAAAAAAATTATATTAATTAAAATAAATTGATAATTAAGGTTTATTATAAAATAGGTATTGAAGGGGCCTTAGTAGGTTTATTTAAGAATAAAGTTATATTGGGGTTTTGGATTGGTGTTAGTAACGCATAATTCACAAGGTTCTTTGGAATATAGAAGTTTGATGTGTTTAAAAGCAAATTTTAGATATATCAACTAATTCAATTAAGTAAAGTTTTAAACAAATAATAATTAAGATTGTATATATAGTTAGCTATATTTTTGTTTTGTAAAATAGCATGTAGATAAAATCTATATGTAATATTATATATTTTAAACCAATAAAATTTATATATTAAATTTATTTAATAAATAGTTATAATATTAATTTAAAAAACTATTTGTATAAATTTATATTGTAAATAAAAAATTTTTTTTATAATCAAAATAAGTTTGTTTTGTATATTTTATTATATTTGTATTCAGAATTAACAAATAGACTAATTTGATTAATTTAACTAATTTTTTAGTATTATTAAAAAAATTTTTAATTTAAAATTAATATTAAATTTAAAATTAATAAATTATAATAAAAACTATAAAATAAAAAAAATAAAGTTTTAACAAAAACTTTCTAATAATTATTTATACCAAACTTATAATTAACAAAAACAAAAACTTGAAGAAAAGTAAAAAAGATAACTATATAAGTAAAAGTTTTTACAGATGTCAAGATTATTTCTGCTCTTTTGAATTCTTTTGTATCTTTACAAGTAAGTTAAAAATATTTTTGTACAAGATAACTTGCAGGTGGTACTCTTGTACAAAAAATTTTAATAGAAGTATAAGCCTCTGCTAATAAAGTAAAAAGATAGTTAAAACAACAAGTAAGTTTTCAATATATTCTCTATTTAAGTTTAAGGCTACTTGCAAATTAATTTTTTTTTTAATATTCTACTCTTTGTATTTTATGAAATTTTACTAAAAAATAAAAATATAGCAATTCTTTTCAAAGAATTAATAACAACAATTGTTGCCCAAAAAAAAAATATATATATATTTACAATTTATCATTAGATTAATATAAGTGTAATTGTTCTGAGGTCTTCTATTGCTCAGTTATATTTACAACTAAAAATAATATCTTGAATAAAGGTATGAATCAAGAGTTAGTCTTAGATTATAATAAAATATGCAAAGTTGAAGGTTGTTTTAGAAGTATAGCTATAGATATTATAAATATTGAAATATTAATTTTAAAATCTTTCAAAAAGTGTTTAGATAAAGATATGGTTGTTAGTTCTAGATAGAGAATAACAAATTTGACAAGAAAAATTTAGATTTAAAGCTTGTAAAGTAGTATAATAAAAAGTAAGGTTTTGTTAGTATTCATGCTCATAATTTATAATATATTTATTGTGTAATTCAGTAACTCTATCAGTTATAGAGTAAAGTTCAAAATCTAATAATTAGCTAAGATAGAAGAAAGAATAAAAATAATATTTTTGGGTTAGATTTTTATATCTATATTTGGCTTATAGAGAATTTTTCAATTGTTTTAGAATAATATTATTTAGACATTAGCTAAAATTAAATTCTTGATGATAGAGATTGTCATTTGTAATACTCAATTCAATCTAAGATAACTAGAGTTAGAGGTACAGAAAAATTTTTGGGCATGCTCAAAAGGATATACCTTAGCCTAAGACATGCTTCTTATATCGTGTCTAGAACATATACCCTATATCTAAATCATGTGATATGCATGATATATATAAATTAGCAAAATAAAAATTCAGTATATTTTTTTTTTACTTACTGAATACTACAGAATATATTTATTTATTAAAAAAATCTAATATATATTTATTATAAAATAATTTAATTTATAAAATTTATTGATTTTTAACAATATTATCAATAGGCCAATTCTTTTCTTTTAACTGTAATACATTAATAAGTAGTTGAATATATACTTCTAATATATGTATAATAATATAAAATAGAGTATTAAATAAAATCATGAAGATTAGCAACTCTTTTATATGATCACTCGAACCAAACTTTCAGCTAACAAAAACAAAAACATAGAAGAGACAACTATAAGTAATGGTTTTTACAGAGGTCAAAATATCTGCTTTTCTCTTTTAGACTCTTCTGTATATTTAGCAAGCAAGTTAAAAACATTCTTGTACAAGATAACTAGCAAGAAGGTAGTACTTTTGTACAAAAAATTTTAATAAAAGCATAGCTTTTGTTGATGAAATGAAAATAATTGATCTAAAGAAAGGAGAACAACAAGCGAGTTTTTAATATCTCACTATCAAAGTTCAAGGATACCTGAAAACCAAACTCCTCTTTATCACTTCACTTGTTGCATTTTTCAAAATTTCAACAAAAAGCGAGAAATTCAGCATACTCTATCAAAGAATCAATACTAATAATCACTACTAAAAAAGAAATATACGTACATATGTATATATTTACTTTAGGCTAAATAGTGTACTTGATCTTCTGCCCCCAGGGGTCATAATAGGAGTTCTAATTTAGTTGAGCTTATAGGATATAATAGGAGGAATTGTATAGAAAGACTATATTCAAATAGCATTGTAGAAGTTTTGATAAGAACAAAATAAAATGATAGAAATTTTGAACTTAGATCTCTACTTAAGAATAGAAGAGTTTTCTTCTTTTTAATCTCCTAAATATAGACTTAAGTAACTAGTATAGAGCTTGACTAGATTATTTAACAGTACTATATAATTTTTATAATCTGGCACAGGTTTAATAGTACTATTTTTGTTTTATATTTTTTTATTTTGTTTTTTTGTTTTATATATTTTTTGGTTTTATTTGATTAGATGGTTCAAATTTAGCATTGAAATATTTTCTTTTTTTTTCTTATTGCCTTTTGAATTTGTGCTTTTTTCTGATTCTACAAAAGAAAAGATAATACTGATATAGTATATAAAACTGACCAATGATCAAAGAATTTATACCTCTAGTAAGTTAGAAGCCTGAAGAAAATCAAACTGCTACTAGATAATATTGTATCTAGGCTTTTAAAATCAAGTAAGTTACTAGTTGTAGTTAATAGATAATAGCTTTAGTTAAAATTTTTGTAATTTTTGCTTAATTTGCATCTTAATAAAAACAGTGACAGGACATGCCAAAAAAAAATAAAAAATAAAAAAAATAAAAAAAATAAAATCATGAAGATGCCAATATAAGACTATTTAAAGTCAATTAGTTGGTTAATATCATCTTCCCTTTCTGTTAACTGTCTCTCTGAAATTAAACAAGCTAATTATAATACAGAATATGCTTTAATAATTATGTAATTAAAATTGTCAAATGAAATAAAGTGTATTGTATTTTATAATTTTATTATTATAGTCACTTAATTGATAATCCACGAATAAATGAGAATTTGTATTAATAAAATCTATAGCAACACATATAAAATATCAAAATCAGCATTCCTGACTAAATAAAATCAATTTTTTATTAAGTTAATGTCTTGTAAGTTTTTAATAAAAGTTGTAGAACTAGTTTTTGTGATTCTAATGATAATAAGATCAGTAAAATTAGTTAAATAAATAAAAAGTTATAAGCAATTTAAAGTTAAAAGATTTTCTAATACTATAGGAATCATGATTCTAACTTAACATTTTTTTACTATGTTTTATTATAAAATTTCCCCAGTATTAAATTCTTATTTACTTGTAGATCATCAATTAAATTCTGTTTAGACATATATTTATAAATACTCTATAGTTAAAAATATTGTGATTAAAAGATACTTAATATAACTAATTTTAAATTGATATAAGGTTTTGTTAAATTATATACCTGCTGAAGCCATTTAACTAATGAAAAATCGAAATACAGTTAATCATCTTTTATTGAACCTTTTGTAATGACTTCAGAATATGGGGGGAATCAGTAGAAATGGGACAAATTATTTTTAGTAAATTTTTTTTTAATTTTTAAATTACAATTTCTTGACAACTACTTAACCAATTTTGATAAATTTTTTTTTTTTTAATTCTAGAATTATCTAAAATTAAAATAAAAAAAATTTATTAGATTTAATAAGACAGTTGACAAGATATTTAAACTTAAAGTTAAAAAAACTTTTACTTAGAAAAAATTTGTCTTATTTCTACTGACTCTCTCCCATATATCAAATCTTTTTTTTTTTTTTTTTTAACATCTACCCTCTTGGGAGCTAGGATTTTTATTCAAGTATATTTAGCAGGGGATTCTCTTAAGGAACCCTTACATTAGAGAGTACATACTAGCTATACGTACACTTTTGTATCTATTTTAAGTAGTCTGCCTGTACATTATACAGGTTTCACACTAGATGTCGTACCTGTAACCCAACTACAGGTATTATCTATTTAACCTTCTGTAATATAGCTAAATCTATATCACCAGGATATCTCTGTTACATTCATTAGTCAAGAAGTCCCAGATGCTTTATCTCTATTATTCTTAGGACTAATTTATCTTTAAAAGATCGATACTAGAGCGGTCCAGACCCACAATCCAGATTCATCTAGATTCAGTAACTTTACGCCAAGTTCAAGGACAAGTACTTGTGAGCATGAGGCTGCTACCAGTTACCTACTACCCCTTTGTAGAGTTTACCCAAACCCCAGTACCCACTTTACAGACTCTCAACCGTGTCTCCAACTATCCCAAACTACCAATTCAGATGGCCCAGAAGAGGTTTACCCCCTGGTATTTGCAACTAAGCAGATCTTTTTCCTCTGGTTCTGACAAACTCGGTTCCAGTGGCCTGGTTGGTGGAGTGCTTTGCTATATACCAGTTCTGTTTGGTTTTTGCTAGTTATCTGGTGATAATCTTTTACGTAGTATTGCCGAAGATCTGTACTATCTCTCTACTCGGGTCTTGCCAAGCGGGTATCTATCTTTCTGGTTCCTTGGGTTTACAACGATCCGAAACTTTTTCATGTAACTCATACATCACACGAATGTCTCATAATCTCCAATCTTGTTGGTACCACCAAGGTTACAGAAATTCCATTCCAACCGATCGTCAAAAGACAATAGCCGTCATACAGATAGAATATTCAAAATTCATTGCTAGTGGGTTTCGAACCCCTACCTATTTAACATATTGCTTGGGGGTGCGACAACTTAACCACTTTACTAAGTCACCACACCCTCATCTATCAAATCTTAAATTTTTCAAAATATTGATATTTTATTATAAAGTTCACCTGTTCATTATAATTTGTTAAATAATATTTTTTTTAGTTTGTAGTAACTATACAAAATTAACAAGCATATAAGAAAGCTAATTTTTAGTTTATTAATTGTTAGTTTTATATTATATGAAATCTGAAGCCAATAGTATCTTTACAAGGCATATCAAATATTTTTGAATGATCAATATTTATTGAAAAATGTTAAATATGTATTTTATAAAAAAAAATAACAAATAAAAAGATAAAAAAGGAAGATAGACATGTTAATACAAACAAAAATACTAATTTCACATAAGCCAACTTATTTTTATTATGAAGAATTATCTTATATATTATCAATCATCATATTTAAATTAAAAAAGATCTTAAATTTTTATTTTATTTCATACAGGTTCTTACAATAAATAAACCAGAAACTGTACTAAATTATAAATATTTAATATTGTGAATAATACCAAAATTAGATGATACTAAAATTTAGTATTTTAATTTAAAATATAAGCTTTACTAAAATCTATCTATACTTTTTTATTAATGACTTTAATCCTAACTCCTAATCTAAACCCAAAAAAAGTTTAAAAATAAATTTAAAAATTTAAAAATCATACAAATTATAGTGATCAGTAGATATTAATCCCAGTATATAATATATGAAGTTCATTGATTACAGTAATTTAAAATATGCTATAAAATAGATTTAAATTTTGATTTCAGTATCATTTATGTCAAAAAAAACTAACATAATATGCTAAATTCAATATAAAAATCTATATACTAGTTTTGTTTAAAACTATACTTTATACAGATCTTTAATTATTTATCATGTTTTTGGCTATATATATCTCTATTATACAATTATCTAGTAAAATTTATTCAAATACTTTGTAGCATATATATTTGTTTAAATTATGTATTTGTTTAAATTTTCTCTTCTCTTCTTGTACGAGCTTAAAATTTTGATATTAACCAACTAATTAACTTTAAGTAGCCTAAATTAAAAACTAGTTTATTTATTAATCGATATTTTGCATACTTGTTAGTTTATTTAGTTCAATATTTTGTTAATAGCCAATCAGCATGGAATATTATTATATAATTTAATATTGATAATCATATAACAGAAATATGTCTTTTAATCTAAAAGCATACCTAAAAAGTATACCTCATATCTGTACCCTTAACCCTACTTTAGAAGTCTTAGAAACTTTAAAGAAATCTCAGTTTAAGTTTGATGAGTCAAGTTTACCTAAAAACTCTTTTGTTATACTATTGAATAATTTTATTTTATCTAATCCTATTTTTATTTGGCTATTTAAAATTTTTTTTTTTTATAAAAATACTATGCTATCTATTTCTAAACTAATATTCTTTTTTTTTTTTTCTAGTTTATTTTATATTTTTTCACAAATAACGTAACTTTTAATCTTTCTATTTTTTTCTTCTCTTCTTCTTTATTTTTTTCATTAGTTGTTATTGGTTTTTTATTTTGTATTAGAGCTTTTTTCTTTATTTTTTTCTTTCTGTTCTTCTAATTTATCCTGGTCTTCTTGCTTTTTTTTGCTTGAACTAGCAATCCTCTTGAATTTTTTAAAATCTTCTTTAGTAGTTTCTTTCATAATATCTTTAATTTGTTTTTTATTTAGTTAATCTTCTTTTCTTTACTATCTATAATTCTCTTTTCTAATTTGTCTTGAAGTTGAAAATAATCTATTGTTAGTTCTCCAAAAAGATACTCAAGATTCTCTCTTCTTTTTCTTCTTTGGAGTTTCTCTTGTTTTGCTTTTTTCTCTCTAAGATCTGATATCCACTTCTTGTATCAATATAATTCTTTCATATATTCTTCTAAGTAATCATTTGATAAAGTTTCTTTTTTGTCTATAGGATTCTTTACTTTATCTTTATAATTTCTTTTTTCTCATCTTTTTTAGAGATTATTACCTTAATATTTTTTTTTTCTTTTTGGCTTTGTTCTTATCTTCATTTTATCATTTTGTAATAGAAAAGATAAATTTTCTTGTCCAAGTTGTTGAATTAAACTCTCTTCTATATTTTTTCTTTAAAGTGCTTGTTGCTTTTCTCTTTTTTTTCTAAGATCGACTATTTAGCCTTTATAAAACTTTAGTCTTTATAAAACTTCAGTTTTTCTAAATAATCTTTTATCGATTTATCTAATATCTTCATAGTTTTGTTTTGTTTTTAGAATTTTTTTTCTTCAATACCTGACTTTCTAAATACTATTTTTTTTGTTTATATAGATTGTTTTGTTTACTTATAAATGCATATTCTATTTTGTATAATAACAACAGATCTGCAATATAGGATCAAATACAATTTCTTAAAATTGTT